AGTGGTGCTGTGGCTCAAGCCGTAGGGCGCTCGGTATTGCACTCGCCTTGAGCTGAAGAGCCCAGGGAAAACCCCCAAGCCCAAAATTCAAGCCCCACGACTGACAAAAAAAGGAAGTATAAAGCAGCATTTGTCATGTTGATCAAAATGTTTTAAGAAGACAAAGATGAAAAAGACACTCAGGAATCTGAAACAGGAGAATTGAGAGTTGCAGGTCAGTCTGGGCTAGAGTTAGACCTGGTCTCAAAACAAAGGAAAATAATGATTCCTTAGTCCACTCTTCCTATTTCTGTATACATTTAAATTTGTGACAGTAAGTTTTTTAAATACAAAATACAAAACTGTATGTTAGCCAGGCACCAATTGCTCACGCCTGTAATCCTAGCTACGCAGAGGGCTGAGATCTGAGGATCGTGCTTCAAAGCCAGCCTGGGCAGCAAAGTCCATGAGACTCATCTCCAATTAACCATCAGAAAACGGGAAATGGTGCTGTGGCTCAAGTGGTAGAGCACTCTCCTTGAGCTGAAGAGCTGAGGGACAATGCCCAGGCACAGAGTTCAAGCCCCGTGACCGACAAAAAAAAAAAGCTGTTGCCTGAATAAACACAATATCCAGGAAATTACAAAGACATAAATAGGTCTAAAAGGAGGTCCTGGCTCTCATATATAGTAGGCATACACTTATAATGCAGGGAAAAGATGATTAGAGCTATGAATAGCAATAATCATGGTATAAAAAGTGGTATCAGGCTGGGCACTGGTGGCTCATGCCTGTAATCCTAGCTACTCAAAAGGCTGAGATCTAAGGATCATGATTTGAAGCCAGTCCTGCAGGAAAGTCTGTGAGACTCTTTTTTTTTTTTTTCAATAAACTATTTAGAATAGGCCAGAAATGGCACTGTGGCTCAAATGATAGAGTGCTAGCCTTGAACACAAAGAGGCTCAGGAACAGTGCCCAGGCCCTGAGTTCAAGCCACAGGACCAGCAAAAAAAGCAGTGGTATTAGAAAGGATAGACATGTGGCAAAAGGTCTGAGGAAAACTACTAATAGATGACAGTCAAACTACTCTTAGGGACAGAACAGTACTGAGATATAAGAAATAGGAAGAGAGGAGGCATTCCCCTCAGAAGAAAGAGTAATTCATTTTCTCCTTATAAAGGAAACTATTACTGCTAACAGAGAAAAAGGAGACAAAAAGCTTGGACAGGTTATTGGCTTGGTGTAAGGTAAATATGCAAACTGAATGAATTATTTCCTGAAATCATGTGACTATTTTTACCTTTATAAGCTTCCTATTTACACTGTTCCCTTTCCTAAGGTACAAGTGTATCTCTTGATAGCAATCGCCTTGCAATGGAATTACTTATTCAGCAAATGTCTTACCTGCATTTCATGCAGAGTGGTGTAGCAACTTCTTTCCTTATAACCAAAGGCCAAAAAAACAAAAACAAAAACAAAAAAAAAACCCCTCACTAAACAATTCCCAAGCTTTTTTCTACTTCCCAAAGGATCTCAAAGTCTTTTTGGTGTTTGTGCCTGTATTGGGTCTTGAACTAAGGGCCTAGGCTGTTCCTTAATTTTGTTTGGTCCAAGCTGCTATTCTACTATTTGAGCCACAGATCCAGTTTGATTTTTTTTCTGATTAATTGAACATAAAATGTCTCCAGGACTTTCCCACCTTTGAAATGTTATTCCCAGATGTAGCCTCTTGAGAAGCCAGGATTACAGGCTTGAGCCAGCAGAACCCTGCAAGGATGTCAGTCTTTTAGCTACTTATGAAGACAATTTCATAGTGGTTTCTCAAGAAGCAGACAACTTTACTTATAACTTTTTACACACCATTCTCAGTACGATAGGAATCTTTTGAACTAGAACTTCAGCTTACTCACTGAGATCATGCCCTACAGACCAGCAAACAGAATCCAGTGTTTGAACAAATGATTGTAGCATTGTGAAGCTGAGCAATTCCTTCTCTATCAAGAAAGGCGATTGCCTTCAGTTGCCAGAATCTGAGAGACCAGGAGCAACCTGTAGCGGATAAAGATTACCAGACAATAGACAGCAATAATAAAGACACTACAACAAAAAGCAAGCACTTTCAGGTGGCTCCTAAAAGGTTATAAACTATTTTACCTACTTTTATATAGGGCAAAGGATATAAAAACTTGAGGACATCATTCTTGGTTTGACCCCCACAGTGCTTTATGAATTAGCTTCCATAGCTTAAGAGCTGAAAGATTTCATTCCAACTTCTAAATTACCAGAGAATTAGCAGTACTGGGGTTTGAATTTAGGGCCTCTGGCTCGCCAATCACTTGAGAGCCACACCCCTAGCTCCTTTTGTTTTCATTATTTTTCAAATAGGATCTCACTTTTTGCTCAGGCTGGCTTGAATGAACCACAAATCTCTTATTTATACTTTTTTATCTGGTCGTGGGGCTTGATCTCTGGGCTTGGGAGCTGTCTCTGAGCTCTTCAGCTCAGAGGGCTCTACCACTTGAGCCACAGTGCCACTTCCGGTCTTCTGGTGGTTAATTGGAGGTAAGAGTCTCATGGACTTCCTTGCCTGGGCTGGCTTTGAAACTCGATCCTCAGATCTCAGCCTCCTGAGTAGCTAGGATTACAGGTGTGAGCCACTGGCACCTGCCTTATTTATACTTCTTATAGCTGAGGTGACAAGCATGTACCATGGTTGCATAGAGCTTTCCTTGGTTGAGATTGCCCTAAGGACTTACTGTCGCCTCCAAGTACTATCATCCCCATCTGCTTCCTGAGTACATATTATTATAGTTGTGAGCTGCTACCAGCTTTCCTTACTTAAAAGAATAAAAAGATCTGCTATCCCTGGGCTTGTCTTCCAGATTAACAGCTACTGTCATTCTCTCCTATTATATACTACTCTCCAGTCTACTCAGCTCCTACATTTGTGTGGGCAGTTCCTGAATATGGTTTTAAAAATCAATGCATATGGCTCATGCCTGGTAATCAGAAGGCTCACAAGATTTAGATTAACACTGCAAGTTCCAGGCCAGAATGGTTCATATGAAGACCCTATCTCAAAAAAATTCAACCACAGTTGGGATGATGACAATGGTAATATATTTTATGTACCAAACAAATCCAGTTGGGTGGACTTTCTTATAATTTAGGATTATTTTATAACCATTGATACATGAATATAAGGCAAAATGAAATCTACCTTAAGGGATTAAAACATAAACAATTTAGAGCCAGGCCCAGGTGGCTCATGCCAGTAACCCTAGCTATTCAGGATGCTGAGATCTGAGGATCACAGTTCAAAGCCAGCTTGGGCAAGAAAGTTCCTGAGACTTGCATCTCCAATAATCTATTCAGAAAAAGACAGAAGTGTTGCTGTAGATCAAGGGGTAGAGTGCTAGCCTTGAGCAAAGAAGCTTTGGGACAGAGCCCAGGCCGGAGTTCAAGCCCCAGGACCAACAAAAATAATTATAACAATTTAAGATGTGTGGAACTATGTCTTGGCAGCTCAAACCAGGATTAAATCACTGAAATTAAAACTATAAATGTACTGAAAGTATATAAATGTACTGAAAGTGTCTCAGTTTAGACATGGGAGATAGGTATCTGGATCAAACCACAAATGAAGTTTTAGGCAAATGCCAGCTAAACATATAAAATGCAATATATATGGGCTGGGAAGGTGGCTCAATGGGAGAGTGCTTGCCTTGCATGCATGAGGCCCTGGGTTCGATTCCTCAGCACCACATAAGCAGAAAAAAAGCCAGAAGTGGCACTGTGGCTCAAGTGGTAGAGTGCTAGCCTTGAGCTATAGAGCTGAGGGACAACACCCAGACCTAGATTCAGGCCCCACAACCGACCAAAAATAAAATACAATACATATGCAATACATATATGCATACAGACTGTAAAGGTGGGCTAAGCTGGTAGCTCAGTGGTAGAGTGCCTGCCTAGCATTCTCAAGGCCCTGGGTTTAAACCCCAGCACCACAAAACAGGTAAAACAAGGGGAAAAAAAACATGTGAGATAAAGAAAAAGGAGCTAAATAATCACTAAATACTTCCATCAACTTTTACCAATGTTCATTTAAATCTACTTTTAAATGCTCTTACTGCCCACACCAGGATGACACGGTGGTTCTAAGGTGTTGGACTTAAATAAACATCATAAACGCAATGATCTATCACTTTAAGCACAAGTTTCCTAATTATACAAAAGTAACCGGCAGCGAATTGCTTAAATGGCACCGTTTTCTAGTAAAAGCCCCACTGTCATGCACGGTAAATAAAAACAGACACAGAATTCCCCTGTCTCGGTATGCTTGGAAACAAACGGAGAGGCACAGTATTTGTAAAGGACAAAGTACCCAAACTGAGATTGTCGACTCTTCTAAACGAATCATTCTGGAGGAGAAAAAAAGAAGCAGGGCTCCTAAGTCATTTCTACCACCCCCTCAGCCTTCTCCCCTCTGCAGTTTCTGTGAGCGAGCATGACAATGCAGCATCACGCCAAGACTTAGTTCTTTCTACTGCTTAAAAGGACGCTGTGTTGGGCTACCACAGCCGTGACACAGCTTTCCCTCCATCCAAGGACGTCCTGTGTCTCACAGGCCAAACGCTTGTGGGGAAGCCGGCGGTAGCGGTCAGTGTGACCACCTGTCCCCTGCTGCACGCGGACCGCTCTGCGTGGATGCTCGGAGAATCCCCAATCTGTTTGGGGGGGCGGGGGACAACAAAAATCCTCTCCATTAGCACGTGGTCTGCCTTCCCAACCCAGGCTGCGGCGACTGCTGAACTCAGCTGCAGGGGTCTTGGAAGGCCAAAATTGCCCCAACCCTCGGCAGGGTGGCCCTAGCATTGCAAATCCCTCTGTGGCCTTCCTCCTTTCCTTACCCAGCAGCCAGGGACCGTAAGAGGGGCGGGGTGAGGACACGACAGCCAGCCCTTCTGAACCCGATCTCCCGGTGCAGACTCGGCGCCTCCTTATATGTCACCCAGGCTCACCAAAAAACGTGTCGAGCTGGTACCCTGGTCCACTGCCCCCACCAACGGCCCCAAAACTGCTTTCTTCGCGGCTGCCATGAAACCACCTTTAGGTCGATGTACAATTTGGCCGGCCTCCTGGATGACCGTGGCCGGCTGGGAAACAGCAAGCAGTCAAACACGAGGGCGAGGCTGCGCGGGGAGGCTGAAGGCTCTGACCGCGTTTCAGGCAGCCCCTTTACCCGCGCGGAGCCTTCTCACCCCGCCCCTCCAGCCCAGACCCCGCCCCTCCTGCGTTCCCTAGGGCTTCGGGGGCGTGGCGGGGGGGGCGCTGTCTTCCAGGCTGCCCAATGAGCAAAAGCGGAAAAAAAAAGGCCCACAGTTCGGACATTCAGAGGGCGGTGAGACGCTACGGGGGCGGGTCTGGGGCGCAGTGGAGGATGTGCCCAGCGCAGTAGGTCACGTGGAGGAGACTAGGGTGCGGAAAGCCTTTGCTGGGCTGCGGCTCTGGCTCAGTGGAGCTGTATCTGCATATTAGCCTTAAGCGCCTCTGGCCCTTAGGAAAAAAAACTCCCGTACACCCGCACCCTGGGGCTCACGCCTGTGGGTGAGTCCCCAAACGCAGAACTGTTTGTTCCGTCCGGTAGGTTGGGCAGAGCCCAACGTGAGTGACAGCGTGAAGCCACCCGAGCCCGGCCTTCCCGCGCTTCCCACGCCCCGCCCAACTCCCTGCGTTAGGCCCCAGTTAATAATAGTAATAATCTCTTTTACAGGGATTGATCCCACGTGAGACCAATTGAAGTAACACGCGAACCCCTCACCTTTGCAGGTTTTTCAGGGACAAGGTATGCGGAAGTTCTTTAGCATTCAAGGAAAACACTGGAAAAAAATCAACCTCCCCAAATCCCTCAATTGACCAACCAGGCAGAAGGCGTCAGGCACCTCCCAGGCTGACGCACCCCAGCTCGGGGCTTGGCTTTCCTCGGGTGTCCCCACCCCCACACGCAATTTCCGCTCGATTTATTAACTGCTCTGACCTGCAGGGGAAAAAAGAGATTCTTCCTTGACCTTGAATTTACCTTGTGAAGATCCTTTTCAGTCACTAGTTCTGCAGGCTTATAAACTTTAGACCTACAGGGCAAAATAGCTTTCAAAATAACCTATGGCTTTTTAATGTATAGGTATGCGTGCCAGTTTATTTCATATTCAATGCCTATAAACATGTTAATATATGTTCATATACAGGAATCATCATATATATTTCCATGCTATGCAGTCTGGGTTGTTATTCTAAAGCATATCATTTTTAATTGCTAATTAAAAACTCACTGAATGTATTTCATTACTTGCCAATTTCCAAAGCACTCCATTATTCCCTCTTTTTAAAAAAATTAATTTTATTGTAAACATGCTGTACAGATGGGTTATAGTACATGAGTAAGATAATGAGTACATTTCCTTATTCCCACTCTTAATTTGTCATCACTTTCCCACATCTCACAGTGTTTTGGAATTTAGACCTCCGCCCTCACTTTGTCCACTCTTTGTTTACAGTACATACATAGTTTTACTACATTTGTTAGGAAGGCATAGTCTACGTACCTATCTGGTCTTGGTATTTCAAATAAGGTCTGCTTGTGGAGATACTGATTCTGGCTAAATTGGCTTGCTTTAAGATAAGGGATATGAGTCAGTGCTAGTGAAGTTCCTGGAAGCACAAGAGAGGCAGACAGACATATAGTAAGCAAAAATTAAGGAATTAGGCCAACTTACCTCTAAAAACTATGAAAGGCATTAATTGATGAATGACATAAATAAAGATTTTCCTGGTTCTAGAAGTCAGTAAAACAAAAGAACCAAAGTTAGCACATAGAAACATTTTTTTTTAAATCCTGACCATGTTTGAACTTTGACATACTTTTGTATCAGATTCTAACAGGGCAGCAAATTATTTGTTAGCAGCACAGTGGGGATCAGAATTCATTTATTTCAGAATAAGTACACTAGAAATCCTTGAATTTATTGATCATGTGATTCCTACAACAGTGTGTGTCCTACATCCCCACTCCTTTCACCAAGACAAAACTGAAAAGCTGAAATATGATTTAAATATTCAGTAATTGCAGGTAAAGATAAGAGGAAGGATCCTATGTGGATGAGGCTAGTCAGCCTAGCTCTGTTCCAAAGGCTTCCTATTACCCTAAATATATAATAGATCTATTTCCATTTTTCCTTTTTTTTTTTTTTTTTGTTGGTCATGGTGTTTGAATTCTGGGCCTGGGCACTGTCCCTGAGCTCTTCAGCTCCAAATGAGCGCTCTACCACTTGAGCCACAGTGCCACTTCAAATTAATTGAAGATAAGAGTCTCGAGGTGCTGGGAAGGTGGCTCAGTGGTAGAGTGCTTGCCTTGCATGCAGAAAGCCCTGGCTTTGATTCCTCAGCACCACATAAGCAGAGAAAGCCGGAAGTGGTGCTGTGGCTCAAGTGGTAGACTGCTAGCCTTGAGCTGAAGAGCTGAGGGACAACACCCAGGCCCAGAGTTCAAGCCCCATAACAGACCAAAGAAAAAAAGAGTCACTCAGATGTTCCTGCCAGGGCTGGCTTTGAACTGCGATCCGAAGCTCTCAGACTCCTGAGTAGCAAGGATTACAGGCATAAGCCACAGGTGCCCAGCTTCTTTCCCTTTTAGAATTAATGTCTTTGGCGTGCCCTTTCTCATCCTTTTAAATCCCCAGTGGAAAACTAAATGTAAAAAAAAAAAAACTAAATGTAAAAATGAATAATAGATACTCTTTCCGTTTTTCATGCTACTAATGAGACAGAGTTGCAAGTAACAATGAGTTACAGGAAATATATGATACATAGTTTTGAGACCAGCCAAACTCTTGTGGAAGAACCAGGAATAGAATTTCAGTTTTCTGACATCAAATCTAGTGCTGTGTACAGCAGCCTGAATGAACAGAAGCGGAAGGGATTTAAAAATAAAAAGAGATGATGTGCTGGAAATGTGACTTAGTGATAGATTGCTTGCCTAGCATGCATGAGGCCCTGGGTTCGATTCCTCAGCACCACATAAGCAGAAAAGGCCAGAAGTGGGGTTGTGGCTCAAATGGTAGAGCTTTAGCCTTGAGCTGAAGAGCTGAGGGACAGCGCCCAGACCCAGAGTTCAAACCCCATGACTGACAAAAAAAAAAAAAGATAAGAAATAAAAACAGATGAAAAGGAAGAAGATAGGATGCTGGTACACCTCCATGTCCATACCACCCATGTCAGATCGCAAGGCAAAGCACTGGAAGAAACACTAGACTGGAAATGTAGGAATCTTGGTCTGATCTTGGCTCTGCCATTTAACACGTAATATTTGTGACCTTAAGTTTACTCATTCTTCCCATGGTTTGCTTCTGCTCATTTGGAAAATAGGGAAAATGTCACTGACACTGACGTGGATGGGTTAACATGAGACTTAACTGGTGCAATGCCCATGTCCACTATCCAAGTGGCACAGTTAATCAGGGAATAAAGATGCAGTTTGGGGTTGGAACTGTGCCTCAGGTGGTGAAGTTGCTTGCCTAGAAAGTGCGAGGCCTGGAGTTCAAACCCTAGTAGACCTCTTCCCCTTAAAAAATGCAGTTTTAGAGCTGGTGCTGGTGGCTCATGTCTGTAATCCTAGGCACATAGGAGGCTGAGATCTGAGGTTCATGGTTCAAAGCCAGCCTGAGTGGAAAGTCCTTTATACTCTTTTTTTTTTCCAGTCCTGGAGCTTGAACTCAAGGCCTGGATACTATCCAAGAGCTTTTTTTGCTCAAAGCTAGCACTCTACCATTTGAGCCTTTTCTAGATTTTTCTATTGAACCCAGGGTTTCATGCATGCTAGGCAAGCGCTCTACCACTAAGCCACATTCCCAGCCCCCTGATATTTCCACTTCACCACCGGAAAACTAGAAGTAGGGCTGTGGCTCAAAGTGATAGAGTGCTAGCTTTGATGGAAAAAGCTCAGAGGACAGTGCCAAGGCCCTGAGTTCGAGCCTCATGACTGGCAAAATTTAGAAAAAAGAGAGAGAAAGAAAAAAATGTCAAGGAAAGAAGGAAGGGAGGGAGGGAGGAAGGGAAACATTAGGTCTGCCTAGGTACACACCCATGGCCATTAACAAATGTTTCAAAGGCTTTTTACATTGCATTAAAGAGGAAGGGGAGAGAGGGCTGTTTTCCTGGGCAGACCTAACAGGAAGGAGTAAGGGAAGGAGGAAAGAAGGAAGGCAGAGAGGGAAGGAAGGAGGAAAGAGAGAGAAAAATGAAAATGAACCTTATTTAATAAATTAATGTTTCTCATGCTAAGCACAAACACCAAGTCAGTTCTAGTTTTAGTTCATGAAAATTGTAGAAATATCCTCCAATAAGTATGTTAATATTTATTATTACATTATATTATACATGTTATTATATTATTGTGTTTATTATGTTTATTCTAGTTATTCTAATGTTATTATATTAATGTTTATTGTTATAATGGAGGGAGAAAGAAAGAAAGAAAGAAAGAAAAGAAGGAGGAATTGCTAATCATAAGTACTCAAGAAGTGGAAATGTGAGGATCAATATTCAAACCCCATCCTGGGAAGACAAACTTGAGAGATTATTATGTCCAATTACCAACAAAAAGTCAGTGGTAGAGCACCAGCCATGAGAGGAAAAAACCAAGACCCTGAGTTAAACCTCCCTCCCCTCCCCGCCCTCCTGCCCCAACCAAACACAACACAGCAGAAGTGAAGGCCTGAAACCAAGGTCCTTCTTGCAAATTACTGAAGTATCCTTGATGGAAATCTGCTTTGTTCTCCTAATTCCACATTGGTCTCATCTCAGCACATTCTTTTTTTTTAATAAGTTTTTTTTAATTGTAAAAATACTATACAGAGAGGTTACAGTTACATGAGTAAGTTTTTTATTGTGAAAATACCATACAGAGAGGTTACAGTTACATGAGTAAGGTAATGAATACATTTCTTATCAAGCATTGTTGCCTCCTCCTTTGTTTTTCCCCTACCATCCCTTCCCTCCCACCTCCACAACTACACTCCCCCCCCCCCACGCCTCCCCTCCTAAATTGTATTTTTCAACAGTGTCTTGTACATCTCATTGTTGCAATGGGTCAACCTGTATCCCTATTCTTTTTATGTATCCAAAGATCCTATATGAAAAACTTTCCTCTCCCTTCTTGGCCCATTCTTTCTAT